AAAATATTAACTGATTTCTCTCTACATGTGCTGCCAGACCAGGCTGAGTTTTTCCAGCAATCTCTCTTTTTGCTTGTCTTTTAATATTGACAAAAAGACACAGTCCTTTGGCTCAAGTTTGACCAAAATTAATTCATTGTCTTAGGGAAGTTAGGGATGGACAATAATTGCTGCCTAGCCAGCGATGCCTTCATCCTGTGAATGAATAAAGAAAACAGGTCACTGCCATAATTTTTAGTTCCTGAGCCACTGACTCCCTTGCAACTCTGACAATGAACCAGGCTATTTTCAACCTTGTGTTACATTTCACCATGAATTGTGTTTCAGACACGCATCTATGCTATTACCAAGTCTTCCCATTTCTACCTCCGTAACATTTTATCTAAAACCACCACTGTCTCAGCTCATCTTCTGAAACGCACGTCCTTTGAGATCTCAAGACTTGACTGTTCTCACAAGTGGCCACCCTTCTGCATTTTGTTTCCCCTTTTACTTGTGAGCATCCAAAGCCCTGCTCCCTGTAACCTCACATGGACCAAGACCTCTCAGAATCATACAGCATGGAAACAGATCCTTCAGTCCAACTCCTCCGTGCTAACAAGGCATCCCAATCTGGCCTAATCTCATTTGCCAGCAATTGGCCCAGATTGCTGTAAACCCGTCCTATTCATATATGCATCCAGATGCCTTTTAAATACTGTGACTACGAGCCTTCACCACTTCCTCTGGCAGCTCATTCCGTACACTTGTTCCTGCAAAAAAACAAGGGTCTAGGCCCGAAACGTCAGCTTCCCTGCTCCTCTGATGCTGCTTGGCCTGCTGTGTTCATCCAGCTCTACACCTTGTTATCTAAGTTACCCATCAGGTCCCTTTTTTAAAAATCATCCCCTCTCACTAAACCTGTGCCCTCTAGTTTTGGACTTCCCCTGCCCTAGGAAGAAGACCTTGGCTCTTCACCCTATCCATGCCCCTCATGGTTTTATAAACCCCTGTAAGGTTACCACTCAGCTTCTGACACTCTGCGGGGAGCCCAGTGTATCCCTGCCACCCAAACCTTCCTGTACCATTCACATGTTACCCTGTGCTCACTGCTCTATATTGCGTAATCAAAAGCAAATACCTCAACTTTTAAATTTTCACCCTTGTTCTCTCATCTTTTTCAGACCCTGACTCTGTATTCACGTGCTGCCTTATTATGGTGTCTTGTATTGTCTCTGATTCTGACGTTTTGAGCAACCCTGGTTTTAATTACTGTATGACTTGTTTTCCATGGCTTTAACTCCTTTAGTCCTAAACTTTGGAATTTCCTCCCAAAACGTCTCTTTCCCAACTTCTGTTCCCTCCTTTTAGGTTGAGGTTTAGGTTTTGTCATGTGTACTCAAGTATTGGGGTACAAGAGTACAGTGAAAAGTGTACTATGTTGCAACACTGTGCCATCTTAGGTACAAAGTACCTAGATACAAGAACTTAGTTGCAGAAGTAGGAAAATAAAGAAATAAATTAAAAAGTTTTGCATGCACCTTAAGATCCATCTCTGACCCCATCTCTAATCATATGCCTTAATATCTCTTTCTTTGTTCATTTGTTCATGGGATGTTGGTCTCGCTGGTTTATTGCCCACGCCTGTTTGCTCAAATGATTAAGTTTCAACCACATTGTTGTAGTTCTGGAGTGGCATGCAAGCCAGACTAGGACAGGATGGCAGATTTCCCTTCCCTCAAGGACGTTCGTGAACTGGGTGGATTTTTCCTGACAATCAATGGTTTTGTGGCCATCATTAAATTCTTAATTCCTTATGTGGCTCTGTCGAATTTTGTTCAACAATGTTCCCGCGAAGTGCTTTGAACTGTTTAAAACCTATATTAAAGTTGCTCATTTTATGAGCAGGCACTTGTACATTTCGATAACTGAAAACTTTCAAAGGACAAAATTCTGCTGAAGTGTTTGTTTTTTTTATAGATACAGGGTTTTATATATAGACTGGCATAAAAATCTCTGAACTGCAGCGGAGGCATGCTAAGGTATTCCAGTCCAGCTCGCAGCCCCATCTGACAGGTCTGCAGTGGAAGCTATTTTTAGGCACACGAATGCCATTTTTAACTCATAAAATATTCATCCGCATCTAGCTGGCAAACCATCAATTTCTATAAATGTGACGGGGGCAAGATTTTTCTTTCTCTCTCCATTTCTTTATTGAAGTGGAACGTTTTGATGAGATGCCAGTGGTGAAACGAAAACCTTGATTTGCAGATCCTCACTGCGTCCATTCATGCTCCTCTGCGCAACTGCTTACGCACCGTTTATTGTCGTCTGTCACGGATGGCTTGTACCTTTTGCGTCTGCTATTCACACGTGAGGGGAAAAGGGAGGGCATGAAGCAGTGAAAAATGGCTTTTTTTTTCCTTCCCGTGTCCTTTTCCTCCATTTTTCTTCTGGGAGGAGGATGCAGCAGGGCTTGTTCTACTACTCAGATTGTCCTTCCTTCTTTACATTTTGGAAACCTGATTTTTCTTGTTAGGAAATCGTACCTGTAGCTGGCGTATCAAAGTGGTTTTGTGATTTTTTTTTAAATTAAAGATGCGGCAACACATGCCTGGCTGCGTTAGCGTGCGCGCCAGAGACTTGAGCAGTTTCTAAATCCGGCATTGAGGGCTTGTTTTGCTTGGTTTGATGGAATCAATCGGGGTGTTCTATTTTTAGAAGCAAAGAGATTGAAATAGCAACTTCGTTTTTCATGAAACAGATCGTCCCCTCCTCCCCTGCGGCAGACGTGCTGCTGAAGCCCTTGTCAGTCAGACCTTTGCTCTTGGATGGGTTGTATCTGTCACGATTGCAGTGGTATTAGCCGTTAATCAATGGAGTGTTACTGCACGGATAAAGGTCACCAGGACCTGCCCAGAATAACTAAACTTTCAGGCGTGGGCATTGCAGTCACAATTCAGGCGGGCGATGTCAAAAATAAAAATACAGGAACTAAAAATATCCCAGATGTACATGGAACTGTTAAAATATAATTTTTCTTTGCATTTATAGTTTGAATAGATAAGATTAGAGCTGAAAATAGGATTGCTGCTAGCAGGTTGCAGAAGCATTTTCTTCATTCAAGTAGGAATAACTCCTGGTAGCAAATTTTAACAACTTGTCACTAACCTCTCAATTAGTTAAAATAACTCAGTTTAAGTTTGTAGTTTGGCAGATTTTTTGTTTGAGAATCACAGATTGCAGGTTTACTTTTCAAAATAAAAACATTTTTTCATTTTCTGGCTGGGTCCTTAGAAGTGCAAGATGCTGAATTTTCATTTTTAGAAGAAAATTATTTGCAGGGCTATAGGGGATTGGCATTAGGTAAATGGCTCATGCAGAGAGCTGGTACAGACGTGGGCTGAATGGCCTCCTTTGCTGTAACGATTCTATTGGTAATGATGCCAGCCTGTTACAATCTTTGAGTTCTATCATGTACATTAAGGAATGTTCTTTTACTTTGTATTCTGCATGTGGATGGTACTGATATGACTACGCTTGATAACAATTCCACATTGCCCTGCAAAGCTGATAATGGATCCTCATTGCAATGTTTTTTAACAGTTGAGGAAGTCATTTGACAATGAGACAGCATTAGGAGTTAGAATACGGGTTTTGCACTGGAGTCACATATAGACAAACCTGAATTGAGATGACTGGTTCCTTTTTCACTATAGACGTGGAGCGAATAAATTGGGTGTTTCTGGCAAGGAGGCACTTTGACATTTGATTTACTGGATTGACACCAATCTATAAATAACCAAATCAATTGGATATTCACAAATTGGTGTGAGATTTGAGTTTGCAAGGTTCAGGTTCATCCAATGCCAGAATCAAAACGCTGTGAATACTTAAGATGTCTATCAATGATTTGTAGTGATTATAATGGATGTTATAAGGCATCTCTAGAGTACATAGGACTTAAACTTCGGCCTCCTGGTTCAGAGGTAGGGACACTGCCACTGCATTAGATGTGTCCTCCCTTTTTCATCTTATCCCATTCATCAAGTTAAACTTGGTACTAGTTAACAGAACATTTATCCAAGCCATTATTGTCTAAAGGCGCAATAGGAAGTGACATTTTAATTGTAACACCATTTTATTGTCTCTCAACGTTCATGTTCCAACCAAGTTGCTGTTGCAGTTTTGAGGAAGGGTCACCGGACCCGAAACGTTAACTCTGATCTTTTCTTCACAGATGCTGCCAGAACTGCTGAGCTTTTCCAGCAACTTCTATTTTTGTTGCTGTTACAAGTTCAGATTCTTTTAAGAGATGGACCTTCTGTAATTTTCATTTCAACAACTATGCAGTAGATTTCTCCTGCCTAGTTTGAATCTAGGTCATCAACACAAATCAGTCCCAGTGCTTCCAGGCAACACCTGAGCACAGCAGGCTCCCTACAAGCCACAGGTCCTATTGTAATAATGCTTTTACATGATAAATTGAATATTTTAGTTCTCCTTAGGCTCTATAAGCGAAGCCGGACTTAACATGGGTCCATCTTTTTGGTAGTTTCCAAATACTGGAAGAGTCATACCTCAATCATAGAATGGTAGAGCACAGGAGGAGCTGATTTTTGCTGCTCTTTGGTGCATCAGTTCAGTTAATCCTGCTTTCCCACTGTTTTTACCCCTTTGCCCAACCAATTATTTTCCTTCACGTGTTTATCAAATTCTCTTGAAAGCTGTTATTGACACTGTTTCCACGACCCTTTCAGCTAGTGTATTCCAGATCACAACATGCTATTTTTATTTGAAGCATTCTTTAAAAACAATTTATTTTTGGAATAATTGTGGAGGGAGCTAAATTGGCCATTTTATGTAAAGTGTGGAGGAAAAGAACAAAAGTCTTGTTATAAAATTATTTCTTGGTACATTGTATTTTGATTTATCAAAAATAGTTATGATCCTACATTGATATATATTTATAGTTCATTGTCGATTCTTTAAGTTGTTAAATATGAACTTTTTTGTTGCAGTTGTTACAGGAGCAACTGATGGAATTGGGAAGGCTTATGCGAAGGAGGTATGTTAGAAAATTAGTCACATTTTTAATGGATAATTTCTTTGCTGCACACTTTTTAAGGAAATCAAAATCTTCACTTTGATCAGGATAAAATTTCGCAACTTTTTACTAATTGACACTCTTGGAACAAATGTGTCTATGTAAATGTATATTATTTCTGTTATATTTCTGCTCAGCCAGAAAGCATTTTATATAGGGTGCCAGAAAAGACTGAAGCAAGATTATATAGTTTGATTTCTTAAAATATTGTTTACCTGTAACTTTTTTTGACTTTGCTTGATTTTTGACATCTTCTCTCCACACGCTAGCTCGCCAAGCATGGTATGAGTATTGTCCTTATCAGCAGATCCCAAGAAAAATTGGATCAAGTTGCTAATGAAATAAGTAAGTCGATCTTATCTTCTCTCTCTTTTCCTCCTCTTCTCACCACTTCCTCCTGTATTACCAAATATTATCCATGCATGTACACTTTCAGCAAAGTCATATTGGAATAAGTTCTGACCCCTATTTCAGAAAAATCCGAATTAAGTTATATTTCTACCAAATAAGAAAAATACCTGGATGTTAATGTAACTCTGTTTGGGGAAGGAATGTGAGGTGGAAACAAAAAGAGAATCTGGCTGTTTACTGAATAGCATTGACACATTCATTAAAAATGAAGGATGAATTGTTTGAGAGCAGGTTATTAGGGTTGGTCAAAAGTACTCCAGCTTTAAAGGCTAATACATTGACTTAAAAGTAAAATAAGATTGGCTTAACTCAGCATTGAAAAGTTACCAACCTGGTGACGCACAACTAACAGTCTGTGAGGTAAAGATTTATATAAATGTTAGTGGTGAAATTTTCTTATAGTAAGGCTCCAGGAATCAACTTTTTGCATTCAGCAAGTATGTTGGCTGTGGACTATTTTTTACCTCATTTTGTTAAAAAAAAAAACAACAGTTGGGTCTAATTCACTTTATGTCGTCATTGTCTTCAGGAATAGCGCCAGAAGACTGGAGACTAGCAAATGTTGTCCACTTGTTCAAGAAGGGGAGTTGAGACAACCCTGGTAATTATAGACCAGTGAGCCTTACTTCGGTTGTGGGTAAAGTGTTGGAAAGGATTATAAGAGATAGGATTTATAATCATCTAGAAAGGAATAATTTGATTAGGGATAGTCAACATGGTTTTGTGAAGGGTAGGTCGTGCCTCACAAACCTTATTGCGTTCTTCGAGAAGGTGACCAAACAGGTGGATGAGGGTAAAGCGGTTGATGTGGTGTATTTGGATTTCAGTAAAGCGTTTGATAAGGTTCCCCATGGTAGGCTATTGCAGAAAATACGGAGGCATGGGATTGAGGGTGATTTAGCGGTTTGGATCAGAAAGTGGCTAGCTGGAAGAAGACAGAGGGTGGTGGTTGATGGGAAATGTTCATCCTGGAGTTCAGTTACTAGTGGTGTACCTCAAGGATCTGTTTTGGGGCCACTGCTGTTTGTCATTTTTATAAATGACCTGGATGAGGGTGTAGAAGGATGGGTTAGTAAATTTGCGGATGACACCAAAGTTGGTGGAGTTGCGGATAGTGCGGAAGGATGTTGCCGGTTACAGAGGGACATAGATAAGCTGCAGAGCTGGTCTGAGAGGTGGCAAATGGAGTTTAATGCGGAAAAGTGTGAGGTGATTCACTTTGGAAGGAGTAACAGGAATACAGAGTACTGGGCTAATGGTAAGATTCTTGGTAGTGTGGATGAGCAGAAAGATCTCGGTGTCCATGTGCATAGATCACTGAAAGTTGCCACCCAGGTTGATAGCGTTGTTAAGAAGGCGTACGGTATGTTAGGTTTTATTGGTAGAGGGATTGAGTTTCGGAGCCATGAGGTCATGTTGCAGCTGTACAAAACTCTGGTGCGGCCGCACTTGGAGTATTGCGTACAGTTCTGGTCACCACATTATAGGAAGGATGTGGAAGCATTGGAAAGGGTGCAGAGGAGATTTACCAGGATGTTGCCTGGTATGGAGGGAAGGTCTTATGAGGAAAGGCTGAGGGTTTTGAGGCTGTTTTCGTTAGAGAGAAGAAGGTTAAGAAATGACTTGACAGAGACATACAAGATGATCAGAGGATTAGATAGGGTGGACAGTGGGAGCCTTTTTCCTCAGATGGTGATGGCTAGCACGAGGGGACATAGCTTTAAATTGAGGGGTGATAGATATAAGACAGATGTCAGAGGTAGGTTCTTTACTCAGAGAGTAGTAAGGGCGTGGAATGCCCTGCCTGCAAAAATAGTAGACTCGCCCACTTTAAGGGCATTTAAATGGTCATTGGATAAACATATGGATGATAATGGAATAGTTTAGGTTAGATGGGCTTCAGATTGGTTTCACAGTTCGGCGCAACATCGAGGGCCGAAGGGCCTGTACTGCGCTGTAATGTTCTATGTTCTATGTTCTATGTTCTATGTTCTAAGACAGTACTGAAGGCAGAACATTAGCTACATTTTCCTCCAACTGAGTTGGTAACTAGAAATCTAAAGATACTTGCAGCTAATTTACGGTCAAATGTGTGTTGTGCAGTTTATGGGCATTTCCTCATCCAAACACACAATGTTAAAGCCAGCATTTATTACTCGCTCCTAATTGCTTTTGAACAAGTCGCTTGCTTCAGAGAACAGTTAAGAATCAACCAAGTTGCTGTGGGTCTGGAGAAATATTTAGGGCAGACTAAATAGCTACAGGAGAATCCCAGAGGTAGTAGGAACTGTCGATGCTGGAGTCTGAGATAACAAGGTGTAGAGCTGAATGAGCACAGCAGGCCAGGCAGCATCAGAGGAGCAGGAAAGCAGGAAATATCTGAGGAAGGATCCAGACCCAAAACGTCAGCTTTCCTACTCCTCTGCTGCCTGGCCTGCTGTGCTCATCCAGCTCTACACCTTGTTATCTCAGGAAAATCCCAGGTAGTGTTTTGTTTTATGGCACCCTCCGTTTCATGGGGACATTACTAGTCAAGGTTTCAGTTCCAGATTTGTTTTTCATTGGATTTGAATTCTACCAATTGCATGATGTTGGCAAAGGCATTCTGGAATTCTGATCCAGTGGATTGATAGAATGGCAATGTATTTCTTGGTCAATATGGTGAGTCGCTTGGAAGAGAATTGCAGGTGGTGGGTGTACCTATGTGTCTGCTGTTCTTGTCCTTTTTAGATGTTAGTGATCATATGTTTGGAAGGTGCTCTCTAAGAATCATAGATCATAGAATCCCTACAGTGTGGAAACAGGCCCTTCGGCCCAACAAGTCCACACTGACCCTTGGAGCATCCGACCAGATCCATCCCCCTATACCTCACCTAAGTTACGCATCCCTGAACACTATGGGCAATTTAGCATGGTCAATCCACTTAGCCCGCACATCTTTGGACTGGGGGAGGAAACTGGAGCATCCAGAGGAAACCCATGCAGACCGGGGAGAATGTACAAACACCACACAGTTTCCCGAGGGTGGAATTGAACCCGGGTCCCTGGCGCTGAGGCAGCAGTGCTAACCACTGTGCCACCCCAGATGAAATGGCATGATTTGAATCCACGTCTGGAGAGCAGTAGCCTGAGTCCCTGGATTACTAACTTAGTGTCATTACCACTATGCCACCCTCTCTAAACCTTGGTGAATTTCTCCAATGCAACTTGTAGTTGGTACTGAGCATCATTGGTCGTGGGACTAGATGTTGTGGATCAGGTACCAGTCAAGTGGGCTGCTTTGTCCTGGATGGTGTCAGAAACCTTCAATGTTGTTGCAGCTACACTCATTCAGGCAAATGGGGTTTATTCCATTACACTGCTGACTTGTGTCTTATAGATGATGGACAGCCTTTGGGGAGTCAGGAGATCAGTTACTCAAGTCCTAACCTTTGACCAGCTCTTGTAGCCACAATATTTGTATGGCTAGTCCGGTTCAGGTTCTGGTCAATTGTAACTCCCAGGATGTTAATAGTGGGCGGTTCAAAGCTGGTAATGCCATCAAATATTGAGGGGTGATAGTTGAATTCCCTTTTGAAGATGGTCATTGCCTGGCACTTGTGGCCCAAGCCTGGATCTTGTCCAGGTCTTAGTTGCATTTGGACATGGACTGCGTCAGTATCTGAGGAATTGTGAATGTTGCTGAATTTTGTCCAATCAGTAAACATCCCCTCATGATGAGAATCAAATTGATTGACCCTAGGAGACTACCCTGACGGACTCCTGCAGAGATGTCTTGGAGATGATTGAGCTCCAACAACCACAACTATCTTTCTTTGTGCTAGATAAGTCTCCAAGCAGCAGGGCCTAGATTTCCACTGACTGAAATTTTGCTCAAGCTCCTTGATGCTACACTTGGTCAGTTGGTCACACTCTTGCCTCATCTCAAGTTCAGTTTTGTTCATGTTTGTACCAAGACTGTAACAAGGTCAGGAGCTGAGTGGACCTGGCAGAACCCAGACTGAATGCCAGTGAGATGGTTATTGCTAAGCAAGTCCTGTTGCTACCACTATTGATGACATCTTCCATCACTTTATTGATGGTTGAAAATAGACTGATGGAGTGGTAATTGACTTTGCTTTTTTTGTGTTCAATTTGTCAAGTCTTTGCCAGTATTGTAACTGTACTGGAAAAGCTTGGTAAGTTCTAGCACATAAATCTTTAGTACGATTGCTGGAATATTGTCAGGGCCTTTGCATTATCCTGTTCATCCAGCTAGTACTTGATAACATGTGGAGTGAATTGAATTGGCTGAAGACTGGAATGTGTGATGCTGGGAACCTTCTGGAGGAGGCCAAGATGGGTCGTCCACTCTCACTTCTGATGAAGATTGTTGCAATTGCTTCAGCCTTATTGTTTGCAGTGACATGCTGGGTTCCTTCATCATTTGAGGGTCGGGATATTTGTGAAGCTGCCTCCTCTAGTGAGTTAAAAACCAAAAGAACTGCGGATGCTGTAAATCAGGAACAAAAACAAAGTTGCTGGAAAAGCTCAGCAGGTCTGGCAACATCTGTGAAGGAAAAAACAGAGTTAACGTTTCGGGTCCGGTGACCCTTCCTCACAACGGATGGTGGCTGGGAAAACATCAGTTTATATGCGGAAAATAGGGAGGTGGGTGGGGTAGGGAGTAAACGCTAAGATAGAGCCCAAAGAGAGAGAGAAAGACAGTTGGACAGACAAAGGAGTTGCTAACGATCAGGCTATTCACCCTATTCACCCTATCAGGCTATTCATCAACTATTCACCCTCCCAGCCTGATCGTTAGCAACTCCTTTGTCTGTCCAACTGTCTTTCTCTCTCTCGCTCTATCTTAGCGTTTACTCCCTACCCCACCCACCTCCCTGACTAGTTATTAATGGTGGAGTAGGGATATGCTGAGCCTTGAAGTTGCTGAG